CAGAAGATATATTGTGCCTCATAAGTGAGCTCTGCATGTACACATAAGCTCCTAAGGAGTTGAGATTTTCAAGGAACGTGGAAGAGTACACATTGTCATTAAAATTGTAGAATTATAATTCAATACTGTAAAAGATACCTGGCTTTTAAGAAACATTTTAATTGTTATTTTAACTTTTGATGACTGCACTGCCTTTGTAAAATGTTTAAAATATGTAAAGAAACATATCTATCTTTTTAAAGGCTAGCATCCTAAAAGACAATACTGAAAAATACAATTACTAAGTTGTAAGATTTCTCAGCTTACCGAGTTGATCTGAAAGATTTTCTTTCTGAAGTGTGTTTTGAAAGTCCATCAGTGAAAGGAGAGATGGAGTTTGATGGCTGGAAATAGGGAGTTGTAAGTATATAGATCAAGGAGAAGGCAAAACACACAGGTCTGAAGACTGCTAGTGAAAAAATGGTATTGAAGTTACTTTAATGGAGACAAGCAAATAATCATGGAATAGTACGTAGTGAGTTAGATATAGGCTGCCATGTTTTTTATTTTTATGATCTCATTTGTTTAATTTTTCTTTTGTTGCTTATGCAGAAGCTTTTCAGTTTGATGAAATTCCATTTGTTTATTTTTATGTTTTTTATTTTTTATTTGAGTATGGTATAAATGCAGATACACACACCTTTGCCCATGTTATAACCACACAGCTCAATGAATTTTCACAAACTGAACACACCCAGGACCTAGATTAAGAAACTGAACATAACCAGCACCCTAGAAGCCCCACTTATTCCCTTCCAATCACTCTCACAAGGAGGGTACCACTGTCTTCTCATGTCATAGGTTTGCTTCTTTCAGTACTTTACGTAAGCGAAATTTTATGGTGTGTACTTCTTTGTGTCCGGTTTCTTTTGACAGACAATTTCATCCATATGTTGCAGGCAATTATAGATTGTTCGTTCATACTATTGTACAGCATAATGTTTTGTGATTATATCACAATTTGTTTATTCATTCTACTTTTCATAGCTATTTGGATAATTTNTTTTGTGATTATATCACAATTTGTTTATTCATTCTACTTTTCATAGCTATTTGGATAATTTCCAATTTGGGTCTCTTAAGAATGCTGTGCTATAAACATTCACATACATGGATGAGTACATGTCTTTTTACGAATATATGGATGTGTTTCTGTTATGTATAAAGGCCTTCTACTTTGCATTTAAAAAATTCTGTATTTGAGTATCAGTTGGAAAATCTTAAATATTCTGAAGACTTGGGAGGTCTTACTTAATTCTACTTACTCACCACATTGCATTTATTCAAGTGATTCTCAGACAGTGTCTCTCAAGAAATGTGAGTTTCGGAGTAAGGCTGTTTACAAAGCATTAGTTTTCCGGAAATGTGAGTTTCAGAGGAAGGCTGTTTACAAAGCATTAGTCTTCCAGAAGGCAGCTCAGAAATTGCTGCTGCAGCTATCTCTTCACAGGGGTTGGTTTTGTTTGTTTTTGGCTGATTGAGAGTGATAGTTGAAAACTGGCTTTACTTTTACTTTTCGTGGAATTCCACACTTTACAAAACAATGAATCATTGTATAAGCTCCTAAGCTTTCCTACCAAATGACAACAACAAAATCCTTTAGCTTGGAGGACTTGCCCCCTATTCTTTGCAACATACGCCATATTTGTCACCCTTTTTTGTTCAACTGATGTGCCAGGCATCAGTGTTTCATTCCATTATTACTATGAATTTCAACAAATTGAATGTTAATACCCATGAGATAGATGGATGTTTTGCATATGTTCTAGGGCAAAACAAGTCAAACCAACAAAATGAAATTGTTGCTATTTTCTCTTGCTAGAGAAATGTTGTTGTTTTCTTGTGTTCAGGGAGGATTGAAATGGCCTTGTTAATATTGTTAACAGTGCACAGTTTCTACTTTCTTTGAATAAAGAAATGCTTCCCTTTCTCCCTTGGAGAGAGAGTCACCAAATTAATTGATATGGCATTCTAAGGATTTTCCTGAGAAATTTGGAGATGAAGTTGAGGAAGCACTAAAACTCCACATGGAGTTCTGTGTTTATAGAACAGAGATGTATAGGAATGACCCCATCATGGTTTACCATGTACCCTATTATATCCTGGGAGAGAAAAACTAAAAGGGAGCTTCACAACTAGGGTCTGTCTATTTGAAAAGGAGTACTTTTGGATATGCCCAATTTGAATAGCTCATCCTAGTCTACCCTCTTAACAAAACTGTGGAGTCTTTCTCAATAGCACCTGTCTCTGTGTGAATTGTTCTAAGCCAAATTTTTCACCTGACTCAAACTAAATTTTAGCTGACCTCCTTTCTGCTCTTCTGATATAGCACATTCAGGAGTGCTTTGGAGTTATCTACTCTCTTTTGGAATACTTTCAAAAGAGAGTTTACACACTCTGGCTCCCAGTGGGATCAGATATGAAGAATACTTTCTATTTACATACAACCCTTTTAATCTAAAGAGATCACAATCAATCTTGGAAATAATTTTCCTGGTGACCTTGATTCTACACAGAAGCCTACTGGTCAAGTTTCAGTATTTCTCTGCCAGAATGCTTAGGGCTCCAATTTTACAGTATTTAGAGTGTTCCCCTCCCCAAGTCTCCTCCCCTCTTCTTTTCTACTATCCCATCTGAAAGTGGAGCGATAGCTGTCTCACTCACTTGGATTTGTTCTGCCCTTTCCCTGGGATACAAAGGACTTATATGAATCAATTTAAATTGGCCAGAAGAAATAGCCAGCAGCCTGCTTATGTTCAAATCCTTTGCCCTAATCACCAGTATGGAAAACCCATTGAAAAGACCTGCACATAATCTTACATCCTTTGCATTAAAGATGAAACTGCCGAATTGAAAAGATCTTGGCCAATTAGAATTGAAGACATAGCTCAATAGAGTGTCTGGCAGTTAGATTTGAAAAAGCTGCCTTAGACAGAGAAAAGCACTCCTTTATGTCAGGCTGCTTAGGGTCAGAAAATAACCCAAACTAGAAACAGAACTAAAAATTTCTTATTTGCTTCAGTACTGACACCAGTTAAAGTAATTTACAGAGGCTCCTATCCCAATATCTAATTACCCAAAATACAGTATTTGTATATAGCAGTAGCAATCTAATTCACAGTGACAGGGAGCTGGAGTTGGAGAATTGGTGAGTGAGTGAGCAAAAACAATAAAAATCAAGGCTCTCGTACCATGATATATATTTTGTTCATTCCTTTTGACAAGTGCAGTATGGTGTGAACTATTTACAGTAAATGTACTATAGTGTATACTGTAACAGTAATGAAACCTTATATTTGTGGGTTCTACAGTTTTTAGCTAGTAAAAAATAACTGAGAGACTAGGATGCAAGAGGAGTAGAAGAAAGAAGTGGATTCATTAACTAATTTGATAAATTTTCACCAATGGATTATATACTCCCAGGCTTCTTCTATACTGAATTCTTACATATTTGGAGTTTAGTTTAGTGAACCTAGTTTTGCGCACTAGAGTGGATTGGGATGGAATAGAGGAAGGGTTAAACAAAAGATTTAGATGGGATTTC